ACTTTTCAGGCGAATTACGTATATGTCACGCATTCCGTTCGAAATTTTTCCTACCTAAATATTTCGAAAACGTTAAATAGCATTGTTTTGAGTGTCAATTCCAATAAACGAGCCAGCTATCCGAGCTATCAATGGTAGCGCATATATCGTCAAAATGTTCTCTCATATAAGAAAAATCTCGTTCAAAGAAGTGCTATTTTAATAGGGAGCTTAAGCTACACGTATTTTAGAAATGGCGAACGTAAACGTGAAATGACCCCTGGGAACTATAGTTCCGTTCTGGATTGACTTATACAAAGACCCAATTAAAACAGTTTAACTGATACCTTTGTAATCATTCATGCAAATAAAGACGTTGAAGACAAGAACTAGTTCTCTGAAGATTGCAATTTTACACGTTTACGTACACTTCTCTTTAAAACATGTGTCGTTAAACCTCCCTACTAATCGTACGCAAATGGGGCATTGTTGTTGCTCGAGATGGCTATATTTGATAGAATATAATTCCAGATACGATAAAAAAAGAATGACCATGGTAATAATTAAATGACTCGCCTATATTACAAAAATAGCAGAGTCAAGGAGCACACTGGCATTGTCTCATTGGTGTACATTGGATTTTACTCTTTGTATTCTTTAATGTCTGTATGTTCCTTATTATGTCACTATCAATTATGTTATTCTGCATATAGTCCAACGAAATGTGGAAATGTTCGGCGTCTGACGTCTGGAGTTCGGCGTCTGGCGTTTTGCGTCAATAGCAAATTCTTTAGCAACTTTCAAAAACTGAACAAATGCGTACCGCTTAGACTGACATCATATTTTACTTTGAACAATTATAAACTTATTATGACTTTCAAGTATTTCTTAGAACATATGTTACCATGGTAGCAGATAAATGGACTTATTTGTTATTACTAAGTTACAACACGTGTCATATGTTAATGCCTTGTATTTTCTAAATGCTAGAAATGGTAATGCATTTGTAAATGAAATATTCATAAATTTTCTAGATTATTAGCCATATGAAAAATGTTAATGGTCGATGGCATAAATATTATGATGTCGCTATCGTGAATTAAAATAAATGATGTTTCAAGGTAGAATAAAAGCAAGCTTTGTTCACAACTGTCTATATCTGCTTCCCTATTCAACATAACATTTTTGCTTTTTAGGAAGCTTCAACATAACAATATCAGCAACGTTGTCGTTTCCTGTTACAGAAATAGCATTTGAACAGGGATGCTTCTTTTTGTAGGCCCCGTTCTGTAATAAAAACAAAACATTTTTAATTAAATATGGTTGCCTCGTTTCATTCTTAAGAATGCTATATAGCTGCCTCGTTTCCTTGAGAAACATGCCTCGTTTCCTAAGTGAGAGAATTGATATGTAAATATCTCAGCAATGCCAGTATTGATTTCTAATTTGTAATCATATTATAAAACCGGAACTTATGAACTATTTACTTGCCAAATATTAAGTTTTAATTTGAAGGATAAAAGCACGAAAATTGTAAAAAACAAAAATCTTACCGAATGAAATTTTTTCACGCGCCGCCATTTTGATACGAGGCAAAACCTCCCTCGTTTCCAGTTCATCCCCAGTGATAATGCTAACAATACTTTACTATCAGATTGTAACAGCTTGGTATATTTAAAAGTACTAATGTTTTTACCAAAATATTGGGGTAAATATTGTTTTCTAATGCTTTTAACAGACTTACATTCTAATATAAAATGAAATTCATCTCCTAATGAATTGTTATTACATAGTTCACAAAATCTTCTATTTCTTTCTACATTTCTATACCTACCCCTCTCAATGTGTTGTGTTGGACATTCTGTATTTTGATAAAATGACTCTATATTTTTGAGGCAGTGAAAATAAGTGGTCTTCAAACTTAAATGCTGTTTTAAAAATTCTATAGATAAAACCTATGTTACTATTACTTATATCATTTTCCCATGATTGCCTGAATTGGTCTTCTAGCCTTAATTTTGCCGTTTTAACAAATTTTGAAAAATACGAACTACTAGGATTTAACCAAATGTTTGTCACTACTTGACATAATTCAGCCAGTCAGACTTCACAAGATTTTTATCAAAAAAAAACTTCTATATATTTTCTACATCTTTGCTGAGAGCGTTTTTTCATTGTTAGAGCTTAATCAATACCAATATTTTTTTATACATAAATCAAATTTTACCCTTAATGGCATTCTCCCTAACTCAACGTACATAAACCATAACGTTTGGTGTTGATGCTTTGACTTTAAGGATATACTTTAAAAACGTTAAATGTAACTTTTCTATCTTTGTATTGTTGATAAAGCCCCATACCTCAGCCCCATATAACAAAATGGGGGCAACAAGCGTATCAAAAAGATGTAATTGTGTCTTAATTGGTAACGATATCTCATCGCTCACTCGTTCAGACTCGTGGATAAATATGATATCTCTCAAAATCATAGGATATCCTATTATACAAATATTGAATTCTGTGGAGTTGAATATCTGTATATATTTCTGAAGCTGTATTCACCGCAGCCCGAAAAGCGAGGTGAATACATCTCTCAGAAATGTATACAGATATCAAAAGATCACAGAATTCAATATTTGCTTTATTATTCCCCATTAAAGTAGTACACAATATAAAAGTTAGAAATACACAATATTGTTATGATATGACGTTAAGTTTTAACGTATTTCCAAACGTTTGGTTGACTTTTTGAATACATTTGTAAATCTTTATCTCGTGTTTGTAATACAATTGTGAACTTTTCTTGAGACGGCTTCCTGATACAACTTCACTGTCTGTCATATTGGATGAAAATACTTTTTACTAAATTCTCGGGAATTAAGTGATGTGACGTCATTTTAATTGAATATAGTGATATTCACTTAATATGACGTCACTGCCGGTGAATACACTCTTCACACGTTTTCTCCATGTTTATAAAGTTATGTGCGATACATACTGAGGTTAAGAAATTAATATTTTTATTAGCATTCAATAAATGCATCGAGACATTGAATACCTCTATATATTTTTAGTCAAGCGGTATCTAAATGACCAATGAGAGAACAAGTATGACAGCATTGAAATAATAAATTTCATTATTTTGTTGAATACCAGTTACGCTTGCATTGTTATGACATAGAATAATATACATTAATAAATATATTTTGCGATATATTTTTTGTCTGTTGCCTGGATAATTTTAAATAAATTACTGTTGTTGCAACCAAAAATTGTCTTGTGTTTCTTTATAATAAATATATTTATAATGAAATTTAAAATAAAAACATAAGATGATTTCATTTCGTTGCAACTAGTTTCTTGTTCAAATCCTCAGCAAGGAGGATTGGCTCCATCGATACATTGATATTCTCCCATATATGGATATTATTACGCGGTAAACACGATACAAAAATATGCCATATTCCGCAACGAATATGGCATATTCACTTGCGGTGTATAACAGATTCACCTGCGGTATATGGCAAACACAATAACCAATGAGAACGTGATACGGAAGTACGCAATTGTCAATTGCATCGATTGAACGAACAAGTAAAACTTTATTAATTATTATAATGATTACTGAATCTACAATACAGTTTATCGAATATATCAACGTATGCAGAAGCATCACTCACCAATCTCACGTAATAAACTAACCCAATCAATCCAGGATTCATTATATTAGTACTCGACGCACTAACAATATTGGTAATCCAGCGTAGTTTTACATTTAGAGTCGATTTTCGCAACAAATCAAACCAAGTCTTTCTGTATCACGTTTTCACCTGCGGAATATGTCATATTCACCTGCTGTATATGGCATATTCCGCAAGTGAGTATGACATATTCTGCAGGTGAGTATCGGGTATTCACTGAAATCAATGTATCGCATATTCACTTCGGAATATCGCATACTCACCTGCGGAATATGCCATACACCACAGGTGAGTATGGCATATTCACCTGTATCACAAATACCGCACAACCATGAATGTATGCCATATTCCGCGTAACAGATATGTCGTGATTCAAAATTTGAATTCAAACAGCCGCCATTTTGTTCACTTCAACATTTGAATCGTGAATTCTGCTCTTATTCCTTTACGAAAAATTCCAAAACTTACAAGAAATGATCCAGATATTGGTGTGAATCTTTTGGACTGTTATTTTTGAATTTATAGTCGGTTTTAATTTGAGATAATAATGCCATTTCGACGTTTTCATTATTGAATATCGATGGTCCCTCCTGGGAGCCAATCCTCCTTTATTTCTCAGGCAAGTAACAGAATATCGCAGTATGACGTAATTATAATTGCAAATAATGTCGTCATGTAGTTACCTGTGCAGGTATGTATGGCGTATATTATGAGGTTATATAATGTTTGATTCCGTATATCATGTTTATACTCAAGTGAGTGTATGATATATTCACGAGTGACTGAAGGGAACAAGTGAATATATCATATACTCACGAGAGTATAATGATATACAAAATCAACCATTATATGATCTTATTATCCCACCCTAATATTTAATCAATAAAAGGTTAATCTAAATTCAGCAGTTGTATATCAAGTCGAAGAGTTGTATAAGCTGCCCAGGAGTTGTATACGCTATCCAGGAGTTGTATATTGTTCTCAAGAGTTGTATACGATGAGTGTTGGTTTTATATCGCAGTTATACAATGCTATTATACAATCATATAAAGCACTTAGGGTGGGATAATCATATATATACAATTAAATGTGTACCATATCCTAAAATATGTCATAATTTATATTGCATCGAGGAAATATTTTTAAATAATATGTATAGATAAAATATATGGATCAATATGAGTAGTTTTTTAATATTGGCTGCACTTAAATATCGATTAAATGTTTTTTTCTGCCACTCCCAACCTCTGGATAGTGTTCGGTTGTAGCATGGGCTTCAAATGACAAATCCATGGTTGTAGGGACAGTATTCTCTGGGAACTATAATCTAGTTGTGTCTACGTTAACTAACTCAGTTAGCCCATTGTACCATTTGGTCGCAGTATCTTTGATTGTTGTAGAAAAGGTGAATGTTCTTTTTGCTGTTTCTATGTCCAAAAGATAGAACTCTGAAAACCAAATAGTTGTTGCATGTAAATGATATATGTCAATAAGTGGACAAGAGTTTTTAACCAACCTTGTTTTCTTTGAATCACATTATTAAACAACTTACAGATAAACAGCTTCTAACTGTTCATGTCATTCAATGTGTTACCTACATAAGGTTTAAAGTACTATACTATAGTATTGTCATTATGTACCTTCATCGGTTCTATATTTCACAGATGTTAGTTCGGATATAAGAACCAGGCCATGTTTTCTACTGTTCCATGATATTGCATATACGATGGAATCCATTGAAGCATCCCTAATAACTTTCAGCACCACCTGTTTTTTCTTTTTCAAGCCATGTCGTGTTTTCTTGTCAAAGACATCACCTAAGAAAATAAACGCATGCATTTGTTCGTTAGAACAATTATATCAGTACATTAACACTGCAGAGTCATTGATCCAGACCTCTGACACAAGTATTGACCACATCGGTGAATAACATGTGGTTTATGGCTTATGGTACTTGACAACAGCTTTCTGAAAATCTGTTAAGCTAAACCTTCTGTCTACGTAAATACGTAATTAATTACTTTGAGATAGTTTTAATAGATCAAAATTGAACCCCGATCCATTTTAACAAAACAAGAAACTGTGTTTTGGATTATTGTATACCTTTCTCGAGAGTCGGTAAATCAAGGTTCAATCCCTTCAGATTCTGATGATCAGTTATGTGGTCATTGTGGTATACCAGGGCTGGCCTTCCATCGCGATTTCTAAAAGGAATGTGCATGGGTTCACGAATGGTCACTTCTTTGTCCTGTGTAGAATGGGACGTTGTCGCAACGTCACCTGGTGAATTAGAATTGCCATTAACTGAAGGAATGACACTTGATTCGCCAGTTGAGTTAAAGCTAGATCCTTCGAGAGCGCCATTAGATTTGACATCATTATACAAATCTCTTGTTCGATTATGAGGACCGATTGTGTCGTATATGTTGACCTCGTGAATATTCTTGACACCATCAGAGTCGCCACCTAATTTTTCTACTAGTTGTGAAATAGTCGTAGTTTCATTCAGCAAGTCAACTATAGGGATATCTACGCCAAAGGTGATTGATATTTCTGACTGAAGGGCAACAACAACTACCGAGTCGATTCCTAATTCGAGAATTGATGTTGAGTCATCCATTTCGTCTTCGTCGGTCATAACTAATTTTGCAAGTAGTCTTTTCAGCTCTACACGTACTCCAGTTGCTTCTGTAACATCACCAGCCATCAATTCGTTTTCGGTCTGATTATGGGCACCTTTCAAAATTGCATCATACGTTTCTGGAGAATGTATTTTCATCAAGTCCTCAAATCTGGTCCAGATATTTCTTACCTTTATAAGCCTTGATTTGAATATTTTCTTCCAGTTGGCATTTACAAACGTGATTTGTTCAGGATTTGCTGTTAATGCAAAATCGAAGCATTCAGCAATACAGTTAGCATCCAACGTGTTTATACCATCCTTCTCTAGCATCCTTTGGACTTTCTCATTGCTCTTCAGGGTTCCCAAATCCATTGCCCCCCAGTTAATCGTCAACGAGGGATACCCATGATGCCGTCTGAAAAGTGATAGGGCATCTTGGAAACCATTACCAGCACAGTAATTGCTCTGACCAGGATTTCCAAATATAGATGCCATTGAAGAATGCATCACAAAGAAATCAAGATTCATATCCAAGGACAGCAGGTGAAGATTCCAAGAGCCCTTGATTTTGGGTTTTGTTGCTCTCTGGAATCGAATCTCATCCATAATTGTCAATGGTCCATCTTCCACGATGACTGCTCCATTAAATATTCCTTTTATTGGTACGTCTGGGTGAATCTTGTAAAAATGTTCAACTGCATGATGCAGTGTTTCAATTTTCGTTACATCTGCAGAGATGGTGATTATTTTGACACCAAATTCCCTTTCAATATTCAACATATCCTGTGTTTGATTTCCCCCAGACCTCGATAGAATAATTTGATATCCAGCTCCCTTCATTGCCATGTGCTTCATCAATTCTGAGGTGAGTCCGTTTGTACTCCCAATGTGAATGTAAGCTGCATCGGGCCGGAATAGTTGATCTTTTCCTACATAAACTGGGAAACAATGACCCGCGAATTCTCCAAGACCTTGATGTTCATGTTCCAATTGCTCCATGGCTGTAGTTTGTTGTATGTGGTTCAGGAGTTCTTTTTTCGTCATATCACATGTTGAAGTCATACATCCGTCAAATTGCCCAGTGATACTGTTTCTTGAATCAGGTTGCCATTTTTTTCCGAGATGATTATTTCTCTGTCCCGAGGAACTACATGCAGGATATCGCCGTAGGTTGCAGATGTATATGGCGTTACTGTCAAGATCAGGCTTATTGAGGGCATCAAAGTCAACTTGTGCTTCAAGTCTGTGAATGGGAAGTGGATTTTGAAATAGTTTTACAGACTTTGTCCACTCGATTACCTTTTTAAGGGTTTTCTGTAAGTTATATGGACTGAGTACCAAATTCGTTTGTAGAACAGATATTTCAGATTTGTGTCTGAAAGCCTGGCACAAGATATCAATGTTTTTGGTTGAATTCATTGTTTCTATCAGAACAATTTGCTTGACCGTTTCGGCCTTTTGCATATATTGGATTTTCTCCATGTCAAGATGGCCATCGACGAGAATGATTGCATGGCTTGTCCTGGTCACATTAGTTGTAACTTGTATATCAGATGCTTCTAAAAGACCACATAAGAGGTGACCTAAATCCCTGTGTTGCTCAAACCCTGACATGTAAATGGCTGAACCGTGTTTGAGTTTAAGGTGCTTGGTTATTATATTCCAACAGATGACATACATAGAAATGTAAAGCGACCCCGTCTCAAATGGAATCTTTTTCAAAGAGAAAACACAACTCCTAGGAGCAACGAGAGTTGTCTCAACAACATGCGGGTAACAAACAAGAACCTTTTCAAATTTGTTTGTTTTTTGGATTTTGGCATGGCCGATGAAGTCAATTGCATTGACAGGGTAGCCGTATTTGTTTGATGATACTCCCCATGGTTTTGTAACTATGGCATTCAAATCAACAAGACCAAAGAGACCACTATTACATATTCTAAATGAATCGATATATACTAAACATTCAGAATTGCTTAATCCAGTTGGGCAATTTTGATACTGGATCATAAAGGTCGGGTCTGTTATTTTCCCAGAAGCAGCGGATATGAGTACTCTCTTGGTGTTGTTGATGTTTGAGATTGGCAATCGATGTTCAACTGAGCGATTAGCATATGGTTTGATTTGATTGACGTAAACGTCATCAGCTTTATATAACAACTCAGGATGGTCAGGTGCTTTGTTTATATGGCTACTGAGACTTTCAACTTCAAAGTCACTTCCAGTGGATAAGTCAATTTGGAAGAGATTATTAAAGACTTTTTCTCTTGCAAGAGTTCGAGTCATTGCCCAGATGGAACTGCCACAAAGACTAATAGGTCCTTTCCGATCGGGAAAGACCTGCGAACCATTAGTTACGATGTAGAGGGGAGTCTCGGGGGACATTCTATAAAGCCACTGGACAAGCTGTCTCAATGCTGAACATGCAAATAGAATGGGGGTTTCAACTTCATCCATCATTGATGCAACATTAATTTCATTTACATCTTGAATTCCCCAGGCAAAGATGACCAAATCGTATCTGTTCAACGAGGCTGAGTGACAATTCAGAATGTTTTCTAAAGACTGACTATTAGAAATGAAGTCCTCGTATAAATCTGCTGTAGGGGGAGAGATGAATGTGGAGTCTGAATTGATAAACGGTCTCAGTTTCTCCATTATTCCTGTTGGATCTTTGAGAATGAGACATTTCTGTGACACATGTTCTGAATTATTGTCTGGATTTTGCAACTTTTCCCAATATACAGAGTACGAAACGTCCACCTGGTGAGATATTTGCTTTCCTGTGAGTAGCTTTAATGTTATATCTTTGCATTCAATGACCACCTCTCCAACCTCAGTCGTCAGTGCTGCATGGCAAACGATGCGATCCTCCTGGACCAATTCAGATTGTATATAGATGAGAGCCTCGGAAGGTAAACTTTTTCTAATTGTCAATTTTCTGATTTCGAAAGGAAATGCAGTTTCACCATCTTCTGGCACAAGTGCCAGGGCTTGAAGGATGTTATCGAGGACTGCTGGGTGAATAAGCATCCTATCCTTGCTATCCACAACAGATTCTGGCATTGAATATTGTAAGAGCCATTCATTGCCATTGGTTTTGTAGCTCTTTATTCCTCTCAGACTCAGTCCATAAGTGAACTTGTATTTCTCCAATTGTTCATACATCACATTTCCATCATACTCATCTGGACATCTGGCTTCTATTTGTTTAACGTCGATGTTTGTTTCACCTATGTAGCAATCAGAAAACGTTGTTGATCCAATTGCATGTTTGTTTTTTTCAGAGCTGATTGTGAATGACACAAAATCAGGTTTTTCAGATGAGATGTGTATGTCGAGTTTAGTTGTAGCACTCTCACTCTCAAGTGTGCATGGACTAAGAAACCTCACTGAGGATGATACACATTCTGAAAGACCGAGTCTTTTGTCAAAAAGCATAGAGCAGCTAATGCCTAGCTCTGCATATGTTGCACCGGGAACAAGAATCCTATTCGATGATTTATGGTCAAATACAAATGGCATTTTGTCTATCTTTACATCACACACAAAGTGTTGCCCATCTAGACCACCTGTTATGAATGGATGCGTTTGTACATTACCAAATATTCCCTTTTCCCCAGTTTTGTAAATTGATTCTGCCACGTCTGGGTAATATTTAACATGGTTTCTTTTAAACTGGTACCTCGGAAATGGAATTGGAGTATGTTGGGAAGAAGATACCTTTTCCCAATCAATATCCAATCCGTGTTCATACATTCGTCCCAGGGACGCCATCAGGCTTGACCATTCTTTGTTTGGCCTGAATGAGGGTAAAATAGTATGAGGATGTTGTCCAATGTTGTCTTGGATATTCTTTCTTAGAGCTGGCCGTGGTCCGACCTCTAAAATAAGGTTGTGACACGAGGAATCCATTGCAGCACCCATTGCTTCCCGGAACAATACAGTCTGTCGTACATTTTGCAGCCAATACTCGGGTTTGACATAATCATTTTCAGTTACAGCCAAACCAGTAACAGATGAAATGAGCTGGGGATTCGGTTCTTTAGCCTCTGGAGCATCTAAGTCAATGGCATGCAATTCCCTTTTCAGTTTTCCCAAGATAGGATCCATGAATTTGCTATGGTAAGCAACTGAAACATCCAGCTCTCGCAAAAATATGTTGACATTTTCCGCCTGTTTTATGCTATCGAGCTGATCCAATATTGCTGAAACATTGTCCCTTGCTCCGGACAGTGTACACGATATTGGACTATTTATTGCAGCAATCTCCAAATCAATTTTTTCGGCCTCTCTTTTTATATTTTCGATTTCGTAGTTGCTAACAACTAGCATTCCACCCCCGCCTGCTTCCTGGATACATTTTCCTCGTGCTACAATTACATTGGTGGCACTTTCCAAAGAGAGTCTTCCAGCGATACAACACGCTGCTACCTCTCCGACAGAGTGACCTATTATATGACTTGGTTTGATCCCCCACTCAATCCACTGTCGTGCAAGTGCCACTTGTATTGCAAATATTGCTGGTTGACCTATTGACGGCTCAGACAAATCACTTTTGGTTTTCAGCTTGTTGATCAATGACCATCCTTCTTGCTTCGAAATTTGCTGATCAACAATCAAGAGAGTTTGTGAGAAAACACTCTCTACGTGGTTTGTGAGCATCTCAACACCCATACTGACCCAATGTGTCCCCATTCCGCAAAATACAAATATTATTCTTAGCCTTTCCCTTCGTATATGTACAGCATCAACACTGTCCAATCGTACTTCCAGTCCTTTCTTTATCTCTGCAATGTCAGCTCCTACGACAGCAATCCTTTTATCAAAGTGTGTACGTCTGATTGTTGATGTGTATGCCAAGTGCTCAAGTTTCATATCCACTGTATTTAGACATGCTAAAAGGTCTCTAATGGATTCCATTAGAGAGAATGTGTTGTTGGCTGAAAGAACAACAATCTCTTGCTCCATAATATGACTCATTGACTCCTCCTCTTGGATGTGTTGTTGAACTACGCCAAAAGAGTTTGTTCCTCCAAATCCGTAACAGTTCAGTGAAGCGAGCCGTGGTTTGTCATTCTGCTTGGTCCAAACTTCGACCTCTGTCGGCAATCGTATATTTAGCGCTACAAAATCAATGTTAGGGTTTGGCCTGTTAAACACGATGGTAGGTGCAATTGTGTTGTATTTCATCATTAGTAGAATCTTTATGAGACTTGCTACACCAGCTGCAGATTCTGTATGCCCGATATTTGTTTTAACTGATCCAACTGGACAAGGACCGAATTCGTTTGGACGTTTTGTTGCTATTGCCATCCCCACACTTCTCGCTTCTATTGGATCCCCAGCCTCAGTTCCAGTTCCTAATAAAGACATTCTTCATTTAGCACATCGATCACATCGAAAGGAATGATGTAACAATTTATCTCTGAGTATAATTACAACAATATATCAAGCACTAATTAGAATAACAAAGGAAGTAAAAATGAAAAAGCATTCGAAACAAGTGCATGTGCTTGCTTTGGGCAATCTGGATTCTCTAGTAAACTGAGGACTGCATGGCATGGATATGTTAAACACCTTTGGCAATACTTAAATGAGATGGAGTGGATTAAGGCCGAGTCGAATTAATAATGAGACATGGAATGCATGCAAACAGCCTACAGCATATGTACCGGGACAAGTCACTATCCAAGTCACAATTTGATTCTAATCAAACATTGGCAATGCCGATGAGGAAAAGATTTATTCACTATACCTAACAACGGTAAAACAGCAATCTAGGTTACTTTAGCCAGTAACAGACGGATTTTAAGAATGCAAATACCATGGATTTCATCATCTCTCGTACCAACTGACAAGAATAATCAGACCAAAATAAAACTACAGGACATTGACATGTAAAATGTCACTACATTTGCTACAAGAATTGACGCCGACCGCCCAACACAATTCACAAAGAAGTTGGACATCATAACAGTGTGTCACCTTGGTGGTGAAGTAATACAGGTTTAGGGGAAATGAAATGACAGAAGACAATGACAAACTAGAACAATAGCAACTCCACAGAGTAGCAAATCCCACCGGACAAAACATGTTTTTATAAATAGCGGCCATATAAAATTTGAGCCAAATCCATCCACTGGTATTTGAATTATCAAAGATTATGTTTTTATGAAACACGGTTGCCATTTTGAAATTCAGCTGTCATCTTTAGATTTCTTCTTTAGCAGAGCTCCTATGTCTCAAGGCATTAGCAAATCCAATTTAATCCAAATCCGTCAACTGGTACTTGAGTTATCAAGGATTACATGTTTAGTGAAAAATGGCGGAGATTTCGATAAATAGCAGCCACCTTGAAAATTTTTCTCAAGCAGAGCTCCTTTATCTCTAGGCATCAGTATATAAAATTTGAAGTAAATCCGTCCAATGGTATTTGAGTTATCAAAGATTACCCTTTTCATGAAAAATGGCAGCCATTTTGAAATTCAGCTAACGCCTTTGAAATTTCTTCTGAAGCAGAAACCCTAAACATAAGCATATAAAATTGGAACCAAATCCATCCACTGGTATTTGAGTTATCAATAATTACGTTTTTTTCGAAAATTTTGATAGTCAGGAGCCATCTTTAAAATGTCTTCTTGAGCAGAACTTCTTTGTCTCTAGGCATCAGCATATAGAATTTGAACCAAATCCATCAACCGGTATTTGAGTTATCAAAGGTTACGTTCTATTATGAAAAATGGCAGCCATTTTGAAAATTAGCTACCACCTTGAGAATTCCTTCTCGAGCAGAGCTCCTATGTCCCTAGGCATCAGCATGTAAAATTTGAACCAAATCCATTCAATGGTATTTGAGTTATCAAAGATAACGTTGTTTACGAAAAATGGCCACCATTTTGAAATATGGTGACCATCTTAAAAGTGTCTTCTTGAGCACGGCTCTTTTTACCCAGGCAACAGCATATAAGATGTGAACCAAATCCATCCACTAGTATTAGAGTTAGCAAAGATTATATTTTTTTCGAAAAATGGTCGCCATTTTAAATTTAGCAGCTATATTGAAAATTTCCTCTCGAGCGGAGGTCCTACACCCATAAGGCATAAGCCTATAAAATTTGAATGAAATCCGTCAACCGGTATTTGAGTTATTGCCCGGACATACGAACGGATGGACGGACGGCTTTTCTATATATTAGGAAGAAAAATCCAAAATGACCCATTTGATCAGTTCTAGGCTTTCATACGTAGTAACATCCCTGAAATTTCAGATGAATCCATGAAACGGTTTGGCTGGAAAACTGTAGACAAGCCTCGACAGAGAAGAAATTAGGACGGAAAATCCAAAATGGACACTTTAACATTTGTCCAGACTGCCAAAAATCTAAGTTCTAACCGTTCATAGGTGTCACTACGTTAAATACCACTTCCGGGTAGGATTCCGGGTGGTGTGTATAGTAGGTTCAAGTGCATGTAGTGTGGCCATTTCAGGTTAGGTATTCATGTAAAGCTGAGGGCAAGTACTTTCTGAATGTACAATTCTTAGAAACAAATCGCAAGAATATAGTCCCGCAAACTGGAACTACTTTATTCGTTAATTTTCATGGGTAAAGCAGGGATTTTACCTAAAAATAATTCTCTACGTTGGCGTAGTGATATTTAAAAATCGAGACGCAAACCCTATGTTAAATATAGTCTCAAGATGAAGGTTATTGTATACGGGAACACAGAAATATAGTCATTGTATGGGTTAATTCGTTCGAAAATGGCGATATGTACCCCGGCCAGAACTTGAATTTTGTAAATTTTTTCAATATTTTTCAATGAATTACCGTAGTGACACCTTATGGGTAGAAACATCCCTGATAATTTCAAATGAATCCCTGAAATGATTTGGCTTGAAACCTGTAGCAGTGTAGACAAGCCCGGACAGACAAGGTTTTGGGACGGAAACTCCAAAATGGCCGCCATAACATTTACTCAGAATGCCCAAAAACAAATCAGTTCTAGACTTCTATACTTAGAAACATCCCTGGAAATTTCGGATAAATACCTGAAACGGTTTGGCTAGAAACCTGAAGACAAGCCTGGACAGAAAAGATTTTTCGGACGAAAATCCAAAATGGCCGCCTAACAATTTACCAAGAAGCGAAAAACTAGCCAGTTCTAAACGTTCATAGGTAGAAACTGAAAATTTCAAATGGATCCCTGAAACGTTTTGGCAGGAAACCTGTAGACAAGCCTGGACAGACAAGATTTTAGGACGGAAAATTCAAAATGGCCAACTTAATATTTACTTAGAATGCTCAAAAACTAATCAGTTCTACACTTTCATAGGTCGAAACATAGGTCGAAACCAGATGAATCCCCGAAACAGTTTGGCTGGAAACATGTAGACAAGATTAATCGAGACGCCCACCTGCCCGACCGCTCGTCAAATTGATCACAATATAGCACCCAGGGGTGCGATAAAAAGTGCACATACCAACAACTAAACCGCTTGTACCCAACGGAAATACCCCAAAGCCCACACCCCAACGATTTATCTACATTTATGTATTTACTGTATACAGTATTCGATGGAAATACTTTGATTTTGAACCTTTTTAGATTATGTTAACGAGACACCATTTTTAGGGAGAAAGTAAAATCTGAAGGTAATTTGTGTGCAAAAAACATCTGAAGTATCTTACCGTGTGCCTCGACGTAATCTATGTATTTTGGATCAACATCCATTCTTGCCAGAACATGTTCCATAAGTTGCTGTTGTCTTTCCATGGACGGGGCTGTCATCGGCGTTACCATGCGACCATCTGAATTTATTCCAGTTCCAATATATCCCCATATTTTGTCGTTGTCTCTTAGAGCCTTAGTGAATGAAAAAAGAAAGGATTTCTAAATGAATGTTCTTAATACCAAAGGTGTTCTCAGAGTTGATGGTACATTTAACAACTAACGGTATCATATTATAGGTCATTCAAAACTCGATTAACTTGTAATATGGTTTATTTTCAAATAAGGAAACAAATAGAACCAGCTTATATTTTCATTTTATGAAACAAAGAGATAGTGGGAGTTTCAAGCAATATCTTAAATAAAAAAACAACAAGTTTCCACCATTTCAACTCAGACACTATACCCCCGATCATCTAAATTTTTGCACCAAACGTGGTATTTTATTAAGATATATAGCCACTATGATTACAAAACATTTTTTCATTGCAGAAAAGTACTCGAGGAGAATCCGGCGGAGGGTCCCCGTCCGTATCATGGTTATAATAGGTAGACTCTAATGCAATTCTAAATATTGCATTAAGTCGCATAACAAAATATTTCTAAATTCATATATAGTAAGTTTTAGTTTTTGATTTGATTAGTATCGGAATGATGTTTAGTAGTATAACACTATAGTTACAACGCTGTGAAATCTAAATAAACAAGATAAATACAAACTCAATAAAAATATGAAAGATATACTTGTACCTGCTCCACTGATTTCAAGATCACAATGCCACACCCTTCCCCTCTTATATACCCGTCGGCATCTTCTGAGAATGCGTGGCATTGGCCTTTTTCGGATGACATACGTGCACTCGAAAGGTTAATAAACATGTAGGGGCTCAGCAGGACATTTGTTCCACCACAAACAGCCATATCGCACTCTCCTTCATGAAAAAATACAATTGGGAGACATTTTAAAACCTGATAGTAGCAATGTTCCGCGCACGAAGTCATGTAAAATTATGGTTCCATTTGGAGTAATAGAGATTTTACATTTTGGCATGCCGAACCTAAGGCCCTTGCGATGGCATGGGTGTTCTAAGGTCCCATCACTTTTGGAAGAGTTTATTTTCATTCAAAAGGTAGTATACTTTACCTTTTACAAGCACAACATTTGAATATGCACTCAGTGGATTCAGTTACGGGAATCAAAACCTAGAATTGCAAACTCTTACTATATAATTTATCAATGTGCAAAAGACTCCATGCAGAACAATTCTAGTGATAAAGACGATCTTCCCAATACAAGCCGAAGTCTTTACCAAGGTGCTCACTTCCCCAAAAAATCACTATGAATTTTTCTATTATTACAGACATTTATAGTTAACTCCAATGTATGTATGGGGGGGGGGGGGAGGGTGGGCAATCCACATTCATACATCTGCGTACTAAATCAGTGATTGGCATTCAGTGTTGAATATCCTGAAAAATGAAATATGTCAGTACTAAGTTTGCAAATATGCATGTCAAGAATGTCCAATCTAAGAGTGCACCCCTTCTATATGATAAAAATAAACCCTCCCTACAGCTTGGTTTAGCTTTGGATCACTATAGTGTTACAAAGTGGCAGAAATGCATTCTGATTGGATATAAATGATCATATGACCTTAGTTCACCTTAGTTCACAATAGTAACAGAAGACGGCATGCCAAAATGTAAAATCTCTATTAACCCTCACTGGCCTAATTGGATTTGAAGACGTGAGAAAAATAGTTGTAATAAGTTGTAACCGCCAAACATCGTCCACATAAAATTAAAGTTGGAGACTATGACAATGTCAATATGACACCGTGGTGTGAAATAACATAAGCCGTTTAATGCATCTCTTGAAATATATAATCCCACCTGGCTACCCTCTTAGAAGCATCACGTAATGCAAACTATTGGGAACGACTCTCTGATAACTATAATGAAATAAAACGAATACGCACCTGTCAATATGGCCTGTCTACCCAAGTGTATGGCAACCAACGAGGAAGAGCATGCCGTGTCTACAGTCAGCGATGGACCTAGCAGGTTAAACGTATACGACACTCTGTTCGCAAGAATAGCTCTTGCCGTACCAGTAGACATATAATTGTCAGAGTCAAATGATTCTCCAGTCACTCCTTTGTAATCATCGTTCATCGAACCTTTAAATTGGATATTATTCATAAATAAAGTCATAATTATAACTTCATGTTGACATGAAATGATTAGAGGAAAAGCTATTGTGAAATGGTTACAATCCATTCAAAACGTCCTCTCAACCTAGAGATATTTATTTTCTATTTCTGTCATTGGCAAACATATCAACATTGTCGTAAGGGTTAGAGATGAGTCTCCTTAAACGGGTATTTCGTCAACTAGGGTTTCGAGTACTGGAAAATTAATGTATATTTTGATATTTAATATTCTCATTTCATCTCATATCAATTTAGTCATGATCAAATATTTTGCGTCGGGTAATTCAAATTACCATATTGCATGAATATCAGCGAACGATTTGGTGACTCGTTTTTTCACAACTGATGTGGAATGATTGGTCTATATCACGGGGTTGATGCGGCATATTTTGAGGTCTGCAGATCAAAGGTAAATTAAAAGGACATTGTGCCCACCTCTTGTCAGTTAGGGGGGGGGGGGTCACACAAGACGAATAGATAGATGAATGAAAAAGTGTATGTATGGACCAACTCTAACACATGGTTTGGTGTGATTGAGGTGCATTTTCTTTAAGATATCTGACCTTTTTGACATGCCTCCATCTGTCAAAATCAGAGTGACAATTTTTGACACTTTCTATAGATGGCGTATTCAACAGATGAGATCTTTTGATTTTCGTGGGGAGTTTTGGTTAAAACTTTTTTGACTTACAGAGGACATACTGGGGTATGGTGACTGTGTAAAGGCCTCAGCTGTTGTCCAAATAAAACTTTAATTGCAAGATCAATTGTAGCTTAAATGTACAATTTTCTATGGGATTTTTTCAGCGTCTTTATTTGGATTTCCACTTATCAATTCAAACTTTTACAAGTTTGTCCGATTTTTTCAATTCTCTGTTTGATAATTCGTATTTCTTGTTTGATATTACACTTTTTAATTTAAATTTTCAAGTTTTTATTCAATTTTAGTATTATTTGTTTTAAAAATCAATATCAGTGTGTGATGTTTTAAATAAGTTATTGCACATCTATCAAACTGCGAAAAAATGGAAAAACTGGTAAATTGTTCGAACCAAAATGTTACAAATGATGTTATATATTATTATACTATATTATATGTGATGTTATATATTATTAGTACGCCCATGCAGATCCATTCCCAAATACCAAAAATAGCGACTACACGTGCTAGCTGTATATATATATGAGTATGCTTTTCACGATATAACAGCGGTTTGAATAGAAAAATACGAAATACCGAATAGTTTGAATAGAAAAATGAAAAGTTCGAATAAGAAAAATGTATGTATCAAATACCAAAATGAAAAGTTCAAATATGAAAAATGAATAAAAGTTTGTACATAAAAGTTGGTTTGATGTCATGTACTTTTTACTTTGAACTATAGAACAATGAGTTTAACAGTATTATTTTACTTATTCGACATACATTTAATTTGAAGTTCTCAACATTTACTTTGAATTTAATTTTCCTTATTTAATGTTTTTGAAAAAATTGCTTTGATTTTACATCTTTTTTAATTTGATTTTCTTATTTGACGTTTTAGATGTATTTCGAAAATTTAAATTATATCAAATGTAAAACTAACATTGGATTTTGAGCCATTTCTGACACGATGTATAGTTAATTCAATTTACGTGTTAAATAAAAAATGTACTGAAAGTTCGAACCAAAATCGTGATACAAAGAGTTCGAACATAGAAATCAACATTGCACTTGCAAGATCATTTTTCTATTCAAACAGTTAGGGATTGTGGAATCTGCGCATGCATGCTTTGATGTATTTTAAGTCGACCCATGCGGATCTGTTCCATTGGGCAAATCAGATTCTTGCGCATGCGTAAAAAAAGATTAAGAATACCGAACTGTCTGAATAGGAAAATGGAAATGTAAAGAAAAGTGTACAAAAATTTGTGCATAAAAAATAGTTCGATGTCGTGTACTTATTACTTTGAACTATTTGGACTGTAGAACAATTAGTTCCACATATCACTTTTCTTATTCCACACGTTTTTCTTATTTAAAGTTCTCAGCATATTATTTGATGTTTTGGAAAAATTGCCTTCATTTTCTTTTTTCAGATGTGACAGACTTTTTCTTGTTTAATGTTTTAAACATTATTTATGATATTTGAAATACATCAAATGTAAAATTAATATTGAAATATGAGCCATAACACAAACAAATTTTTGCTCGGTATTTATGACTTGTAAATACAGCAGCGTACAGTACATTGTATCCAGGATATCAATATCTATTGTTGATTTCGAGTGTGTTATAATTTATTGCATGGGTATAACGTGTTGTCGGAACCTTGAGCTAAATATTTTATCAATGTCAATGTTCGAAGAAAAATATGAAGAACATATTTCTAGAAATTTCCTCTTGTCACTTATAACCTCCACTTATGATCTAGCCGGACAACCACTTTAAACATAGATAATATTCCGCAAAACAATAGATTTACCAGATTCAATTACTGAGAATTGATTAATGAAGTACTGTCGAATGTTATCATAACCTCAAAAGATATCGCACTTGATATTTGGGTGTCATTGAAAGTGATCTTTGCCACTCTTGATATTATCATGGGACTGAAACGTCCAATAAAATGGGCAGAATATCAAGAAAAGTTCGCATATTTTTTTAACTTAAAAATTATCTTTTTCAGCATTATGTTTGGTAGTAGTCAGTTTCTGGTCTATAATGCAATTCTTGGAAGAGATCCTAAAGATATATATATATTTTTTATTTATTATACCCTCTACCATATTTACACAAGGCTGATAATTAATATCCAGGGACGTTATAATAAGTAGTGATAACACTCATCATCAATTTCAATGAATGACTATGTAGGTTCTTATGCCTGGTCACATTTGCTGCGATTCATCTGCCGGCGCCCGGGCGATTGAGTATTTTGTTCCAAACTGAATACAATTTTGAACACAACACTCAATCGGCCCAAGGGCTTATTTAAGACCCGGGGCTTAGTTGTGTACCGAACGAAACGAGAAACAGCACGATATCCGGGGCTTTATTTGGTCTTCATTAGACAATGGTATAGAGGAGTAGGTTTTCTTAGACCTAGGTACCTTTTTTTGTACCGTTTTGCGGTTATTTTACTCCAAAGAATTGGAATCTGTTCACATCATGAGCTACATAATTGATTAACTTAAATATATGACATGTAAAAACGGCTTGATACGAACAGAATAAACAGGAAAATGTACTTGAAGTGGCGATTGTGTTTTCTGTCAGTCAGTGTCACCCCCTTATCCAGCTCCCACAGCGCGGTATAAGTTGACCTGATTATGCAAATGAGAAAACCCCATTGGTTTCTAATCAAATCTGACGCGGCCAATCTTCGTTTTAACTGTTTCTGAATGGTTCGTGACCGAAATTCACTTAACGCCAATTTGCGAACGTTCTGGGTATTACGTTCGCCCTTGATCGGCCAGGCGCCGGTCGATGAATCCAGAAGCACTCGTTGCCATAAGTCGCGCCCTCAAAACCCGGGTTTGCCGTCATCCAAATCCGCCTTTGCAAAAATGTGAACGGTTCATAATTAGAGTCATTCGTGTTATTCTCGGGAGTTTTCAAACCTGGATTTAATTGCTTTTATTTGAAGAGTTCCTTGTTATCAATTGTAATATTGTAAGATTTTGGCCAAGACTGACACAACAGAAATTGTCAACACTGGAGGATGGTAATACGTAATAGGTAATAGCAGCTCGTAATTGTATTTAAATCAAATATTATCCATATTTATGAATAAAAATAGTATGTCAAGTTCCTCATCTCTACTGGTCAATTTTCCTTGCTTTAGTAGCCGTTGACCTGATACATTATCTTATGCCTATCACATATGATCCGATCCATCGGCCGGCGCCCGACCGATTGAGTGTTATGTTCAATATTGTATTCAATTTCGAACAAAATACTCAATCGGTCGGGCGCCGTAGTGAAAATCAGAGCAAATGTAAATGTGACCAAGGTATTAGTCTAAATAGAGAACGGACGAATATAAGGGGTCTTCTAGCTTTGCACATTTTAGACTAAACATAATACATAACTTTTTCTAATATGTTTAACGTCTTGGTAGATAAAAATAACACGTATAAAATTCTAATAAAAATAACTTTTATATTTCGTGGCCTCATTAAACACTTATTTCGTTTGGAATGGCCTTAAACCCTGGTCCGGGATTGGCGCACCCGGGTCTGACTGTAAACCTCCTGTTCACTGTCGTATGAATTATGAATGTAGTTTCGCACAGTTGTCAACGGAAACAAACAGTGAACCCTGCTTTCCTGAACCCGGGTTTCCAGGATTCGCCTCGCATGCCTTCGACTCTTTCTCGATGAATCGGAGCAAATGTGACCAGGCATTATTTCAGCACTTAAAAGCCAGAATCAGATATATAGGGGTAACAAAATTACAAGCAACAATTGACTACCAATTTATCTACAATCTCAAATACAATATCTCCCAAAAGAATCACAATATGTTATAAATTGGTAAAGTTATTAAAGCAGCAGTATGGACTGCCGAGTCGTATCCAGTGATTCTGGGCCTATCGTAAAATGAAATCTTTAATATGTTATAGCCTTTAAAATGTATCTATTTTCCATGTATGCAACTAGAATTTGTGCACATACCTTATATCGATCGATAGTGGCAAAAGAAAATCCTTAAATTTTTCGTCTTCTCCTTCGTCTCCGCCATTTTTTAATAAACCGGAAGTTTGTTCTCTAGTGTCCGCGCAATGTTTTTTCTCTTTTTTATTTCAGATTACGCTTTGGATTCAACTTTTAATGCTTTCTAATAATTGTCATGTAATTTCTGTAAGAAAGGTTTTCATAAAATACTCGACGTCGACGAAATAGAAATAAGGAAGAAGATGTTAGACCAAACTTCGCCCCGATAGCTCAGAAAAGGTAAAAATTATCAATTTTTCTCTCCACAGTCTTTGTAGCCGCTTTAATGATTCAAAGTGCAAAAGTGGGTGAAAATGTTTAAATTCTCCCAAATAATAAGAATGGTAACCATTCTTATAGAAATATAATACATTATTGTAAAAAATCGTTAGTATTGCACTTTTGTGATTTTTAGGAAATAGACATGACAATGAATCACATGAGCCAAAAAATATTCTAAAATTGAGACAATTTTTGTTTAGCATGCTTGCTATATCTGATAACTTCAACCTTCATTTACTATGCAAGCCAATCCTCATGAATTTATATCAGTAATCTATTGTCTTTGTTATTAACTTTGTAAAAGCAAATTGACACTACCACAATAAACGAGAATGTGGTATCTTGACATATTGTCAAATGAAGTTTAAGTAATTTTGCTTCATGTCAATTTGAAGGCACATTATCTTGAGATATCTCGGAGCAAACAAAAACACTCAAGGTGCATATACAGGGTGGGTCAGAACATGGGAAATTCACATGAATTCTAGTTAAAAAGAGTGTTTATAAAACGAATGTCATGGAAGTTAATAATAAAGAATAGAGTCTTAAAATATATAAATATTATGCTAAGTCCAATGATGCATGCTTCCATAGTTTTAAAATTGTCATAAATTCTTCAGCATAAAATATAAGCGACATCTAAAAGCCCATTTTACTTCTCATCGTTTGGCATTTAACACATGGTTCAACTTTGTTGTCTTATATAGTTTCCCCTTTTTATGGCATTTAACACATGGTTCATCTATGTTGTCTTATATAGTTTCCCCTTTTTATGGCATTTAACACATGGTTCATCTATGTTGTCTTATATAGTTTCCCCTTTTTATGGCATTTAACACATGGTTCATCTATGTTGTCTTATATAGTTTCCCCTTTTTATGGCATTTAACACATGGTTCAACTTTGTTGTCTTATATAGTTTCCCCTTTTTATGGCATTTAACACATGGTTCATCTATGTTGTCTTATATAGTTTCCCCTTTTTATGGCATTTAACACATGGTTCATCTATGTTGTCTTATATAGTTTCCTCTTTTTATGGCATTTAACACATGGTTCATCTATGTTGTCTTTTATAGTTTCCCCTTTTTATGGCATTTAACACATGGTTCATCTATGTTGTCTTATATAGTTTCCCCTTTTTATGACCTATCTTGTTCATTCAGATATCAACATTTATAATATTTCTATATAATATATAGAATATGTGATCAAGCGTCAACATATTAACACAGTACATAACACGCGTGCGATTTTTAAACCTAACGTCTGCATTAGAAAATCCAAAACGATGATTATTGCTCTGTCATTGAGTATCGTATTTCCTTTCTAAAATGCTTCATTGCATGGAAATCGAGTCACTATTGACTATGTTATGAATTTTTAAAGGTAAAAAAGTTAATCGTTAGAGTACTTGCGAATCGCGTTCTCTTGACAATTTTATTGAAAAACGTTTACTCAATGAATACCCTTAAAATGTTTTCGCATATATCTGAATATTTATGTTCACTGTGGCAACATAATTATGACGACACCCCTTTCCAAATTTAAGTAATAATTTTTTTAATAATTTTTCAATTCCACTAATAAGATGTTTATGCCGCTGCTAGGTGGTGGCTAGGCAAAATTATGGACCAAAATTATCTCGAAATAATACCGAGTCAAGCATTTATCAATTTTCTTAAATCACTGACTGGTATCTGTTGTAGATCTTGAAACTATGAATGCTAAAGACAAAACAAGTTGATCTTGAAATTGTTGATTATTCAATTTTGAAAGTGCATAAGCATAGGTTTATTGAAAGATCACAGATCATCCTTTTATGAAACGTAGCATTTTTGGCACAAAGGAGATTTTAAGATTGTAATACATTCGTAGGGAGTGTCCGTAAAATGAGTAAACGGCTATATATTCAATCTCCCTTTTAAATAGTCCTTGGACTGTTTCAATCTGCTTGCGTTTGAAACATTTCATATACTACTGGTTACAGTGTACGTAATTGAATTCTTGATAAGACGTTACATGACATACAAGTATTTTGACGAGCAGATAAAAATTAATTTGCTGAACTGCAATGGTATCTTCATAATATCATAGCATCAAAATCAAACAAATGATACTGATGATTTTTCCTTTAAATAAAAGGATTGCCACTGTTATAATATTTCTTAAAGAATAACGCTTAACCAATACTGTATTGTAAAATTGTAAAATGTATGTTTACCATGTAACTGTATTGTATTGTTTTTTTGCAATTGCTTTAACATGCTAAAAAATTAAAAAATATATAATAGTATGCAAAATATTATTTTGATAATAAATTAACCAAATGTTTTAATATCTTCCAAAACTTGCCATTTACAATATTTTATATCACGCTATCATATATGATACTATAACGTTACCCTATTAGAAAGAACAACATGTAACAATGCGGTTGGTGGCTTAATTTGCTTGTATTAATGTTTCACAAATAATGAATTACATTTATACATATATTTAACAACATACATGTATATAGCCAAATACAAAAACAATATTACGTAATATTATATAATAAAAACAATATTACGTAATATTATATAATATGGGGCTAAATATATATTTTTAATTAGGTAATATAATTTTTGATTTATTTAATTTCGAATTTTCATTTGAATATCATATACACTGTATGGACAATACTAAAAAGTGAATTGAGGTGGACCATTGAGGTTTAATAATCTTATGTTAATTGTATTACACTAAATATGTTACCATACCTATATAAACACCAGTGTTGGAGCCACTCATTTCATTCAAAGGAAACCCCCCGTCCTCGAAAGCCTTGAAGACACATTCAAGTGTTATTCTATGCTGGGGGTCGGCCCTAGATGCCTCGATCTCGTTCATGTTGAAGAGACGATTGTCGAAGTCAAACACGCTGAAAATGTCAAAGAGTAGTTAGTATGTATTTTATCGTAAACATACTATCACACTTAACACGGGCTACTAGAGTTTCCACGTATATGGAGTATGACCGGTTCTTAGGCTACGAATATGACCTGTTTTGGAAAGTCATGAGAGGCACAGCTGCTTAAAAATGGAAAATAAAGGTTAACTTCTATATTATCCTTTTTGAAATTATGTTTGTTGAATATAGTTTATGCTGTATTTAATAGTAATGTAACAAAAAATTGTTAAACATGAGCTATTTTAGCAATGTAACTGTTCATAATGGAATATCAATCAGAAAGTACAGATTTCTCGCCTTAGAGCCAAATCATTAATATCACAGTAGAAAAAAACAAATCCCAAACCTTTTTATGGCTAACCTGAACAAGATCTCCAAATCTCAGTTTATATGATCCCCGTAGAGTGAGCAAGAGAAGGATTTATCTTTTCCCAGAAGATACGCTTGTGAAATGTCATGGAAGACATTTCACAACCGTATTCTCCAATAATGGGGCACAAGTGACATTCGTATTCTCAAAAATTCAAAGATGTATCATATTTGGACAGAGCAGGCTAAATTATTTAAAATATTCATGACTAATTCGTAGATCTAGCTATATATTATACATAAGATTGCGTTGTGTTACCCTACTATCACACCAAACTAGTTCTCACTACGTTCTCGAAAACGGGCTAATTCAACTGTGTACGGACGGACTGGACCTACTAAGAACCGTTTGGGATCTATTTACAAACGTCATCGAACGTACTCGGACGGGTAGGTCCTCTAGAACTTAGACAATGCTCAAAATTTTCTCGTGGTCGTCACGTTCTACAATTAGAACGAGTGACAACGTACTAACGACGAGCTGGACGTACTACGAACGGAACCGTCGTACTTCAATCCTACTAGGGACGTTTTAACAACGAGTTGAACTGTCTGAGGACGTGTTGAGAACGAGGTAGAACTAATTGCAAACGGGTTTAAACTGGTTAAGAACGTATTTAACACTGCTTATGAACGAGTTAGCAAAAATATAGCTATCACACCAAACAAGTTGCCACTGCGTTCTTCAAAACTGGTTTTAAACTGTGTGCGAACGGAATGAACGTAGCTGCAACTTTCTAAGGTCTATTTACGAACTTTATGATCGTTCTCAGACGGGAATGTGATTTTAGAACTTTGAATCGATTCAAAATTCGATGGCGACCATACCGTTCTGTAATCAGGTCAACGTACTAACGACGAGCTGGACGTACTATGAACGGAACCGTCGTACTTCAATCCTACAAGGGACGATTTTACAACGAGTTGAACTAATGGCAATATTCTCATGAATAAGGTAAAACATTATGATACATATCTCTGTATAGCATTGTTGCTGAAAAAACTACTTAACTTCCTGTTCAATTGGCTAATTAGAATTAATAAAAAATGATACTTTTCTGATGATGCAAACCCATTTAAAATGCCCCGATTACTAGTAACATTTTTGATGCTGTTTAAAGAATACATTTGATAAACTCGTATAGTTTTAGTAAAATATATTAAATGTTGATTTGAAATACTTACAAGGCCCATTTGAAACTAGGGGCGTGGATATTAGCTTTCCTTACCACTGTCAAACCAAAAGAAATTAAGATTATTTATTATTGATAAAAAAATGTCAAATTTTTTTTTTCAATAAAGCTAAATGTGTGTCCATTGTCCAAGTCTACGAATATGTTAAATAAGTACAGGGGTTTGGGACGGAGGACGTATTGAGAACGAGGTAGAACTAATTGCAAACGGGTTTAAACTGATTAAGAACGTATTAAAGACTGCCTATGAACGAGTTTTCAAAATATAGCTATCACACCAAACAAGTTGCCATTGTGTTTTTCAAAACTGGTTTTAATCGGTGTGCGAACGCAATGAACGTAGCTGCAACTTTCTAAGGTCTATTTACGAACTTCACGAACGTTCTCAACTTCTCAGACAGGAAGGTGATTTTAAAATTTTGAAATGATTCAAAATATTCGATGGCGACCATACCGTTCTGTAATCAGATCATGTGACAACGTACTTCAAACGAGATGACCTACTAGACCAGGGACGTAATTGCCGTACTTCAACCCTACCAACGTGTTATACAACGTTGTACAATCGGATATCAATTTCAATACGTCTGCACACCTACATGATGCGATCTGAACGAACTGCGAATGAGATGGACGTATTGAAGACTGTTTATGAACAAAGTAGGCCTAGCTAATTATTTTAGACATATTTCCCGACCACAGCCAGATTTAGCCCGGACTGGAAAGAACGGTCGAGAACTAGTTTTGTGTGATAGGGGGGGGGGGGGCTTATAGAATTAAACAGGACGATGTAAAAATGTTAAAGTCTAGCCTTTAAACTTTGTTATTAGTATTTGGTGTCTTTAGAGTCACTTTTTGAAATTAGTTTCTAAGCGTTATACAAAAATAATCGAAATAATTTAATATCGGATAGAGGGGGGGGGGGGACGGATGGAGGGGGGGGGGATAACGTGTTTATAAGACATGAGAAGACATGCTACTTGAATTTATTCTTATGACTCCGAATTTTCCCATTTTTCATTCTCCAGAGATATAATATCCAGTTTCTTACTGGGGTACTGAGTTTTTTCTTTTTTTAAATACACGAATTCTTGTGAATTTGCTCCATCGTAAAGACATATAAATCCCCCTTTCCATCGTATATTTTTTCGTGAAGCCACTCAGTAAAATTACGATTTCTCTGCACCCTGATGTCCAATCAACATTATTCGAGTATATATGTGTCCCTGACACGTTTGGGCATCCGTTAACGACAACGTCTACCCAATGTTCACTGGTGATCCACTCGATTACGCTGGTTACGTTTTGGTAACAAAATGTCGGAACATCGAAGGTACGATTTTTCTCTTTTCCTTATTTCACACGTTGTAGGCAGAATTCTCACGACATTTTTTAACACAAACGTGTATCAGTATCACATGTTTGAGAAAATGTACCTATGTGCTTACAAATAGTTCAGAAGACAACAGAATCGTCGATTTAATTCTTCACTTAAGTTACATAAACGGTTTTTCGAAAAACAGTTAATGCTTATGTAACTTAAGTGAGGAATAAAATCGACGAGTCTGTTGTCTTCTGAGCTATTTCTCGCAAACATGAACATTTTCTGAAACATATGATACTGATACACGTTTGTGTGAAAAAACGTCGTGGGGATTCTGCCTACAACGCGTGAAATAAGGAAAAAAGAAAAATCGTTCCTTCGATGTTCCGACACTTTGTTACCAAAACGAACCGTTTGGTAACCAGCGTAATCGAGTGGATCAACAGTGATGTTTGCACGCGAAATTGACGTAATTTATGACTGAAATCGGGAAGACAAAAATATGTGATATTCTTTCAGAATTATTTATAATAACTATTTACAAAAATGTTCCCGAGGCACAAATCCAATTAGGTAAGGTTTGTTTTAAAGTCGAAAAGCCCCAATAAGACAATACAAACCCAGATAAAACCCGGAAGACTGAAGATTTCATGTAATGATTTACGTTCATGTTAACAAGTAAAGTACATGTAATCCTCATATAAAACACTGGCCTACGTGACATGTAACAAGAGAACATTTTAAAAAATGAAGGCTCGTGTGAAGGAGATGTTTGCAGTGTTGTAATGATAAAAAGGGATATGAAAATATAACACAAGATAAAAAAAGATGTAAAACTTGATTATAAATATGTGAACTACATAATTTATTATTTATATTATAAAAAAGAAGAGTGTTTTCTAGGTCAAGTTACATTGTATAAGTAAATTACCAAGCTTACTTTTAACGCGGTTGTAATTTACCGAACGGCAAAAGTAGAAAAAATCCGAACATTTTTAAATGATTAAGATCTTTAAATTGTGAAGGTCTGAGTACCTGGACCTCTTTGAAAACATCCAAACATATCAAAAAGTGAAGATGGGTCAATTTGATTCTCGTTCTCCATAGATATTAATAAAATAGTTGTTCGGAGTTTTTTTAATGCTGTAAATTGTTCACAATTCTAAATCAAGAAGTCGCTCGTATTTCTGTCGTATTTAGGAAATCATGTTGCCGAAAATCAGTGCACAGTGTTCATGGTGTTGTTGTAAAATTGCCTATATGTCGTTTGAAACCCTCTCTAACGCAATTTTGTTATAAACTAACACCTTAGGGTTAAACTTTTGCTCGAGGAATCAACTCATTTTCATCAATAAATATTAACCCATCAGGTTTTCTACGAGTAAACTAACGTTTAAACCTCAGTCCATTGCCGTTATCACTTACTACTAAACCCAAGTGAGATATGGCTCTTGCCTCAGCACGGGCAAATAGCATGTTCAAACTGAAAATTGTCAACATAGCATTTGCTTCCGTGTTTTGTATGCCCCTCTACCTGCTTAATAAGGCAGTGTATCTTCAAATAAAACCCTAGCCAAGTAGATTAGGGTCTCTGGAACACTTTTGTAAGGGTTTTCATAAGCAATTTTGTTTGTTTGTTTGTCCTCCCGATTTCAGTCATGAATTACGTCAATTTTGCATGCAAACTTTGGGTAGACGTTCCGGACGCTCAAACTTGTCAGATACTTGAATGATCTTGATTGGACATCAGGTTGCAGAGAAATCGTAATTTTACTGAGTGGCTAAACGAAAAAATAAAAAGGTTATTATGACGTGCACGGACCTGGGGACAATTCGGGAAATACGGGCTAATCTCAGCTTTAAGCGTTAATATCTGCCTTATTTAAAAAGCTAACTATGTGTATTATATATCATTTTAAAGTATTTTTTATTAGCATTTCACTGAAATTATTTTTCCTTGAAAAGTATGATGGGATCTACCATATTTTTTAAGTTAAATGTACTCCGACATCGTCAGATACGCTGTAAGGCGTAACATTTCACGCTTACACGGTTCGTTGAAATCGGAATAACTTTTGAAATAC